GGCAGCCCACTGCAGCCCCAGCTCCAGGTCAAGTTGTTGTTCACCATCTTAGCTGTAGAGAGTGCAGTGTCACTGGCCCTCATGTGGGATCTGAACTGGGGCCCTGATGCTCAGAGCTGGAGTCCCAAGCCAGCTCTTAACCAATATGCCACTTGGCCGGCCCTCATGTCAGTTTTTAAATTAAGAATTTAGGATGTGAACATGGATGGACCCGGAGGGTATTATGCTAAGTGAAATAAGTCAGACAGAGAAAGACAAATACCATGCGATCTCATTTGTGGGCTATAAAGAACAACATAAACAAAACAGAAAAAAAAAAGAATTTAGGGTATGAAATTGAAACTCAAAGATCTTAGTGCTTTCTTGAACAGAGTTTTAAAAAGCTATTGGTATCTGATGTATTTCTAAGAATGAGTATGACGAAACTTTTGCTATGTTCAATTCCTAATTGTAATTTAGGAAGCCCATACCTTAGAAGATTGATATAGATTCTATCAATAAAGTTCCTATGACCCAAAACAGCAGCCAGTACCATACATATTTTTGTATGCCTTAAAATAGAGAAACAAAATTAGAGTTACTTTATACAATAAACCAATAGGGCAGGGGTAGAAGTTAAAGCAATACAACATAAAAATAAAGTGATGTACACTTTTTCTAGCACAACACTGAGAATTAACTCCACCTTGGCATGATTTAATTTATATGAGTTTCTGACTATAGACACAAAAAGGAAGGGATTCTTTGAAATTCTGAGTATATACTATTTTGCTGGCTGGAGGTCTGGATATTAAAATAACCGGTTTTCCCTGATACGGATATGTCCTGCGCTTACATATAACAAACACATTGTCATATTTTAGAGAGTGTTTAGAATACGATTTTGCTCATATTACAGAGTATGTTTTTAAAGAATGTGTATAGAATTGCATGGTTATCATATATTTGCATTTCTGATGAGTTGAGAGTTGTAGCTTATAATGCCGAATTCTGGCTCAGGAGTTCCACCTTCACTTTTCTCATTGTGGAGTTTTCTGTGCTAACGTTACAGCAAGAGGTGGACACCGTCTGTTAATGTTTGGTATTTATTACCAATCAGTATTTGGTAGTTAAACAACATGTGTTTTTGTAAGCTCCTTTGATGGCTCCCATCTCATTAAAATGAGTACACACAGTTATGTCTTTGTTATAACATTTTTTATAATTTTATCTCATTTTTAGGAACAATTCTTAAAAATTATGAGACCCTGCTACAACATGGAATTAACGCACAGGATATTGTCCAAGTGGAAATCTTCTCCACACTTCCAGATCTATATCCAATCCAAAGAATACATGGGTTAAATGATGCCTCTCGAATCCTAATAGTCAGAGTACAAACTGGTTAGTGGTTTGATGTCTTTTAGGTAAAGGATTTTGGAATCATTTAGTGGTTGATCTTCCAGTCTTGGTTTTATCGCCTCAGGCATCGATCAGTATCAGCAGGTAGCTGTTGAGATGATAAAATCCAACTTTCACAAACCATTTCTTGGTGGATTCAGACATAAAATAACAGGAATAGAATATCACAATGCTGGAACACAAACCGTACCTAAGAAGATTCTCCAAAAATTCAACGTGCTTTGTAGGGACACACAGGTAATATTTTTATTTTTTTAATGTAGCTTTTTGAAGCTACAGAAACAACAANGAAGCCACTGCTATGAACATTTTAAATATGTTTATCATCGAACTTTGAATCCGTAAAACAATTAAAATAGCCTTTTGAGGATGTAACATCTGTGAAGGTGTTCTTTTTGTTGACAGGGAACTGTGGAACAAGTTTTAACAACTTTGAAGAACCTTAGCACCCACCATGCCTGCTTGAATGTCATCCGGGGATTACCGATAAATGTCTCATTAAGCTTAATGAAAATTGTCATGTCAGGCATCCAGAAACACACAAGACGTTTTTGGTCCTCAGTGTGTACTCTACTGCACCTTACTTATTACATGGTCTCCATTAAAATTTAAAGTCTACAAGATGTAAAAGAAAAAAGTTTATCCCATAAGAATTAGTTTTTATATACTATGTTTCCTTCTTATTATTTGTGAACAGATAATCTTCTTATAATACAATAACAGTTTTCCTTTGTTTTTAATGTATCTTGATTTCCTGTTTTATAAAGTGGGACATTAGCCTTTTTACAAAAATGTCCCTTTTTATGAAAAGTTGATTTGTGAATAGTTATTCCAGATGTTTGCAAGAGAGTGATTTTCTGATTTGCATTTTGGCACCTATAGACATAAATTAGGGTAGAAGAATGGATTTAGTATTAGATATCTTCTGTATTTGCAAGGTCAAAGAAAATTTTCTTTGAAAGTTTCCCTATTGGTTTTTCTTCATAAACACGTACTGATTTACTGATGTATGGTATCAGTATATAAACAAATCATGCACATTTCTAACTTCAGGGGCACCCTCCAGGTATCAGGGCCTGCTTTTCCAGTACACATTACTCAGACATGCTTGGTTTTTGGAGATGTTTTCTGTGTTTGTATCTGAGTAATATGGAGCAGATTTTGGGGATCCTTCAAATCAGGTTAGCTTTATTTTCTATTTCTTGTGGTATTCTGAATGAGGAGGTAATCCTGAATAAGCACCGATCCTTCTGCCAGGGAGGGGAAGCGAGAGCTGAACTTGGAGCTGGAGTTGGGGGAGCAGGTGTTCACCACTGATGCCAGTTCCGCAACTGAATGTTCGTCACTTCTCCTCGTGGAAAATGAAAAGTGACTCTTACCATGGAGGTGGGGTGGGGGAGCGTGGCAGAAGCAACTGCATTCTATGTGATTAAAAATCGTCCCATAATTTTCTGTCTGCTTGTGGGCTGTAGGTTGCTGACCCTTGCTTTTGACTATGATTCTTTATTTTCTTTTTTTTTCCCCTGCAGTAAAAGTTGTACTTCATCCTGTGGGACAAGAAATTATAATGCGTTTTAGAATTGACAGCATTTTAAAATACCTCAAGGATCATTTTGCAAACCAACTAAGTGTTCCGCCTGATGTACTACAGATAAGATATGCAGGTAAGGTTGGAGGCTAATAAAACTTATCAAGACTTCTTTAGTTTTACATGTAAGTAATCAAGATCTTTGATTTATTAAGCTATCTTGATATTTACTGTTTGAGCATTGTATTGTGGTTATGCATTCATTCATTCAGTACATTTTTATTGGGGACATACTTTGTTCTTAATACTTTGCTAAGAATTGAAGATATAAAGAAATATGAAACAAAAATCCCTGTACTCAAAGTTGTTTACTGACTAGTAAGGAAGAAGATGCATGCGATAGTTACCACATAATGTGTACATGTTTCAATGGAAATATGCACAGGAATCTGTGTGAACAGGGAGAAAAGAAACTGGGAGATTCTAGAAAGGTTCATTTAATAAAAGTGGTAAGTCCCAGTGA